GCAATAGATGAATGAGCAAGTTGTGGTGGGGTTCTAAGAGATATATAGTCAAGGAACTTGGATATATACCTGGGTTTTCTCAAATTTTAGGTAAATAGAGACCACATGAAAGCTGAAGAATGAGCTATATATCAAGAGATATTAGATTTGTTTGGGACAAGGGCTTCAAGCAAACAATTTTAGAATATGATTCAAACACAATTATGGAGAATTAATATCGAGAATGGTACGTAGTTTAGGAAATGAGTTTGGGTGCTCATCAGTTTTGATGAGCACCTAGCACTCATAGAATCTGGACGGTTTAGATTTAATTTTATTTTTATTTTTATTTTTTAAATAATTATTTTAATAGGAATAAAATAAAAAAATAAAGATAATCTCTTAACTATTATTTTTTCAAAAATAATTTTTTCTATTTAAAATAATTATTTAAAAATATTAAATCTAGACCGTCCAAATGAGATTTGAATGGTCCAGATTGCTTATCAACTGATAAACGCTGGTGATGAGCACCGAAATTGGACCCGTAGTTTAGTGCTTCTGATGTATTTTCAAGCTTTAGTCCCCTTTCTGCGTGTTTGTGCGCGTGTTTTTAGTGTGAAAAGTCATGAGAGATAAAAGAGCAAGAGAGGATTATATACATACCTAAGTAGTAACGAATTTCTAGATAGAATGACAACGACACACAAACAAAAATAGTGATATAGCCTACAACCTCTTCATGTATAATCTCCCGGCATTTTTGTTCAGAGTAAGAGACAGATTCAGTAAAAGATAATAAAAAGTTGGGTTAAGTTGCCTTCAACGTCCAACCTGAAATATTTTGTTCAATACGTCTAACACTCTAAAATATTTTATACTACGTCTAACACCATGAAATATTTTTTGGACCATAAAATATTTTGTGATGTAATTTTATTCTTAAAGTATTAATTTTTTCAGAAGCAATTATACTTTTTCAAGTATTATTTCATAAGCAATTTTAACTGTCATTAACTCTGCAAAAGATCCATTCAACGAATGTATATCAAACATAATGAAGTATTTTTTAATATTTTTTAGGATGCTGGATGAACTATACAATACTTTAGAATATTGAATACACCTGAAAAAAATATTACGCATCTTAACCCTAAAAACTTCACCTACTTATTATACTTTTCTTTTCTATACTTCTACTTCTATTATTCTTCTTTCTAAAACTACTGTTATTTTAGAGTTTCAATATTTGGTTTACTTTTTTTCTCAAACTATACCTTCATTTATTTGGCGCGTTAAGTAAAGGTCCTTAAGTCAACGGGGAGTACCATTTTAAATTTTTCAATCTAAAGGGTAAAATTTTTACCAAATGGAAGGAACATAATTACTCACACTACCTTAGTTAGATATTTAATTTAGTTTTAAACATAAAATTTTAATTTATTTTATCTTTCAAACTCCTTTTATTCTCTTTGTAAGGCATAGAAAAAAATATTTTTCTCCTATTTATAACTCACTTCTTTAAATAAGTCAGTTTTTTTTATAATTTTTAACATAAATGTACTATTTTGTCCTTCAATTATTATAGTGTAAATAATTATTTTTTAAAAAAATTATTATATTTTAATAGAGAATTAATACAATTTAATATTTTTCTTGATCTGAGTAAAAGTATCTTATAAAGAAGATCAGATGAATAACATTTTATCTATTAAATAGTTCCGATGATAATTGAACATGTTAACGTTCCACAAAAGGGTAATTCAAATGCAAATAATTGACAATGATATTTTTAGGGATTAATGATACATATTTATTATAAAATAACTAATTTAATTAATTTTTTTAATATTTATAAAATAATTATCTTTTTTATATTAAAGAGTAGGTAAAGTAGTATTTAGAAAAGGTGAAACTTATAAACTCATTTAAAAAAAAACACTTAAAGAAATCGCTTGTAGAAAAGTCCGACCATGTATATGAATTGTTGAAACAGCATTTTTGTAATGTAAGAATATGAAATGTTCGTGTCATTTTTGGCCACAAACAAATGTCCATTTCATTGTGATGAACAGAGATGATTCTGATGGGCCATCACTGCCTATTCCTAAAGTCATATCTCTCTATTATTCTCCTCACCCTGACCTCTTACCACGGGACAGTACTATTACCAGAGGACAAGAATTATATTAGAAACTATTCTCTCTTGTGCAAAATATAAATTAAATTTTATCTATTTATATTTATTAAAAAAACTAATTAAAATCAATTCAGAATATGAAATGTTCGTGTCATTTTTGGCCACAAACAAATGTCCATTTCATTGTGATGAACAGAGATGATTCTGATGGGCCATCACTGCCTATTCCTAAAGTCATATCTCTCTATTATTCTCCTCACCCTGACCTCTTACCACGGGACAGTACTATTACCAGAGGACAAGAATTATATTAGAAACTATTCTCTCTTGTGCAAAATATAAATTAAATTTTATCTATTTATATTTATTAAAAAAACTAATTAAAATCAATTCAGAATAATAAATGTGTAAGACATGTATTTATTTTTTTTCTAATATATCCTTATTAATGAAGAGAATAAGTAAAAGATACAATGAACAAATTAAAAAAAGAAAGAGAATATATTAGGGTAAAATTAGAAAAAAACTCATTAAATCCTTAGATAAAAGTGAATGTTATCTTATAAAAAATAATTTTTTAAAGAAAGTTTTGTTTATATTTTGAACTGGAGGTAGTATTGTTAAAAAAAAAATTGAAAAAAAAAGTAATTAAGAAAACAGAAGTCATGCATAATAATTGATACGATTTAATATATAATTGAACTAATTTTAGAAGTACTTTTTTCTGCCAACAATTTAAAAGCATCCGAAATTAAACATATGCACAGACCTTTTCCTTTTTCAGTTTGATTTAAAAGCAGTAATTTATAGAAAGTTTATTTATAAAAGAATGGAATATTTTTATCTCAATTTTTTCACTCGACCAAGAGGAAGCTTCCAGGTAAAATAGCCCGATCAATCAGAGGGATGCTCCATCACGGAACAAATTGAATCCCAGCATTTTCCAGAAGGACATTACGAATAAAGCAAACTGTTTATGGCTTTATGCCAGCAAATATTAATTAGCTATTTATCTTTATTCATAATTTTCTTCCCTAATATTTTTATTTATGAAATACAAATAATTTAATTAAATTTTAGAATATTAATAAAAATATGAAGATAAAAACTAAATCAAAATTCCTTTAAATTGTTAAAATTGAATTAATTTATTAACTAAGTAAACAAAGTATATAAAATGCCAAAGAATCTATAATTTTTCTTAAACAAACCAAAAATATAATAATAAAATTATTAATTCATCACTATAATCACAAAATACATTTAAAAAGCACACGAAATTAAAGACGAAATAATTGCACAGTATATCATATTTTTTAAGTTACCTGCAATATACCAGATGGACATATGCAATAAACACGGGAGATTCTTTAAAAAAAATTGAAATTATTAAATCTCAAATAAAATTTTTTTACAGCTTTATTAATTACAAGACTAATATTATCAAAACTCATTAAAATATTGTCATCAAATTGGATTTAAAATTTAGTAATTTAAAAAAAAATTTCGTGAAATTTTTCCTATAAACATATGCCTATTAAATTTACGATATTAAACCTTAAACAAATTACACAATCCGATAAGACAATAAAGTACGCTCATTCCTTCCACTGATCCAGTCTACAGTAATAAATGGGTATTTGAAAAATAAACATGAATATACATTAAAACTTATGTAATTTAAATTTTAAAATTAAAATTATACAAATAAAACTAGCCCTTGGTGGACAGATTAGGAACTCCTCCTTAAAATATTTTTTTTTTGGACCGGAAAAATAATTTTCCTTTTTTTTTCCTTGGAAAAGCTAGGCGGAGAAGAGAGAGAAAGGTAAAAAGTCAGCATTAATTGCTCAGTATACGAAAAGGGAGAGAAGAGTGAAAAACAACATTAAAAAAAAAAAAGTGATTTGGAAAAGTGATTCTGGAGAATAGATTTTGGGGAGAATAGATTCTGTGAAGAATAGATTTTGTAAAAAAGTGATTCTGAGAAGTGAGAGTGTTTGGATAGTTGTTATCAGAAGCACTTTTTATATATACAAATTACTAAAAAAAAAGACATAATTTAATATGATAATTACAGAAAAAATAGATTTTATGATATATTTTAATTTGAAGGAATAAAATTGTTAATAATATATTTTTTACCAACATAATTAATAATACATAAGATAATATAATTAATAAATAATTAATGTGTATATATATTTATAAAATATAAGATTAAATATGTTTATCAAAAAATATGTTTATAAAAAAAATAACAAGATACATATCATATAGGTTCTCACACTCTCCTTTTTTCCTCCAAAAGCAAAAAAATTTTACTTTTTCCAAAACCATGGTTTTGACCCAAAACTATGGTTTTGGTTTTTAGAGGGGGTGTTTGGGTGATTGACATCCCAAACCATGGTTTGGGTCCCCAAACCATGGTTTGGGGTGTCACCCAAACACACCCTAAATGCTAGTAATGGCAGATTGACTTCCCCGCGGCCCATTGCAATGTTTTATAAGCGGTTTGAAATCGTGCAAGGTCGGAAAACAATTTATTCACAAGTAATTGTTAATAGTTTGATTTTAATTTATTTTATTTATGTTATTTATTTTTTTAAGTAAGTTTCTATAATAATAATTCTAATCAACATATTTAACTAAAGATATTTTTAAAAAATAACGTATATTGATTTTAAATAATTAATTTAATTAATTTTTAAAAAAAATTAAAACGCGAGCAACTTATGAGTTGATTTGTATCATCCCAGCAAAATATCTGGTTACCGGAACCAACAAGGTGGTCTTAGTGCTGGTGATAAGTTTCCATGTCTCTTCATAATGACCCCTCCACTTTAAGGTTTTTTTCCTTCTCTGTAGTTGCTTCTCTGTGTCTCCACCTCTCTTGTCATCATCTTCATCACTTTCACCTTATGGCTTCTTCATCAGCTCTGGTTTTCCCCCACACCCTCCTTCCTTCTCTTTCCTTATCGAACTCCATTAATGACCTCATCTTCTTCTGCAACAACCCCACAAGCAAACCTCTTGTTCTTCTCTCAAAACACACATCATCCTTCTCCTCACCTTCTTCATCAATTTCACCCATCAAGTGTTCTTCTTCAATCTCAAGTTTAGTCCCAGAACTCCATCAAGAGAATGAACTTGAAGAAGAAGAAAAAACAGACGAACCTCCCTTGCACGAAATCTGGAGAGAAATTCAAGGATGTAATTACTGGGAAGGATTGTTAGATCCCATGAACGTTCATCTTCGCAGAGAAATCATTCGGTATGGTGAAATCGCTCAGGCTTGTTATGATTCCTTCGACTTCGATCCTCACTCTAAGTACTGTGGAACCTGCAAGTACCATCCTTCCGATTTCTTCGAGAAGCTCGACATGGCCGGCGCCGGCTACGCCATCACTCGCTACCTCTACGCCACCTCCAACATCAACCTGCCGAACTTTTTCCAGAAGTCAGCGTCGCTCCGGAGCGTCTGGAGCCCCCACGCGAACTGGATGGGCTACGTCGGAGTCGTCAATGACGCCGACGAGATCAAACGGTTGGGCCGCCGTGACATAGTGATCTCCTGGAGAGGCACCGTGACGTACCTGGAATGGATTTATGATCTGAAAGATATACTTCATCCTGCTAATTTCAGAGATGGTGATCATTCCGTTAAGATTGAATCTGGGTTCTATGACTTGTACACCAAGAAAGAGGATTCTTGCAATTATTGTTCGTTCTCGGCGCGCGAACAGATTCTCGCCGAAGTGAAGCGGCTTACTGAGTATTATGCAGATGAGGAGCTTAGCATTACGATCACCGGGCATAGTCTCGGAGCCTCGTTGGCGATTCTGAGTGCTTATGATATAGCGGAGATGAATCTGAATGTGGTGAACGACGGTGGGGTTACCAGAAAGATTCCGATCACCGTTTACTCCTTTGCCGGCCCCAGAGTTGGGAACTTGAGGTTTAAGGTCTTACCTCAAACTGCATTCTCTATCTTTCTTTTCAGTTTTAATTTCGTATGGTTTTTTTTGACTGTGTTAGATATTTTAATTTTATAAAGAGTTTTTTCAATAGTGTTCTCAAATGAAATATTGACTTATATATATATATATATATATATATATATTAAGTTTAATTTTTAAAATAACAATGATTTTTGCAAAAAAAAAAAATATTTTGACGCTAATGGTATTAGGGGAGTGAAACTATATATAAAGTTAGAAAAGTAAAAGTGAACTTTTATCTTTTAATATTATTGATTAGAGAGCTTTAACCCTATTGCTGTTTATTTAAGGGGAAAAAAACAGCGTTCTTAAGTACTGTCATATTAATTTTGATTTTTATAATAACAATTGTTATAAGAAAAAATATCATTTGAGCTTAATAGTGACTGAAAAGATATTTTTTGTTTTAAGTAAGAGATCGAACTAAAATATCATACCAACTTAAAAGACTAAATGTGAACTTTTGCCTTCTTTTTTAATATGTTGGTTTCAGAATTTACTTCTTTTTGTATAATTTATGTGTTGAACTGTTGATGATTCTTACAAGGAAAAAAAATCATCATTTGAGCTTAATAGTTTTACAATTAGGGGGCTGAAAAGATTTTTTTTGTTTTAATTAAAAGATCAAATTAAAATATCATACCAACTTAAAAGACTAAATATGAACTTTTGCCTTCTTTTCTAATATGTCGGTTTCAGAATTTACTTCTTTTGTATAATTTATGTGTTGAACTGTTGATGAATACTAGGAACGGTGCGAGGAGCTTGGAGTTAAAGTTTTAAGAGTGATCAACGTGCATGATAAGGTACCAAAGGTGCCTGGAGTAATAACCAATGAGAAGTTTCAGTTTCAGAAGTACTTTGAAGACAACTTATCATTTCCATGGAGCTATGCTCATGTTGGGGTAGAGCTTGCTTTAGATCATACACAAAGCACATTCTTGAAGCCGACCAACGACATGGCCTGTGCCCATAACTTGGAGGCACATTTACACTTGGTCGACGGCTACCACGGCCAAGGACAGCCGTTTAGCTTGGCCAATAAAAGAGATATCGCACTCGTTAATAAGAGCTGTGACTTTCTCCGGAATGAGTATGAAGTTCCTCCGTATTGGCGACAAGATGAGAACAAGGGTATGGTGAGGACTAGTGATGGCCGGTGGGTGGTGCCGGAACGGCCTAGAATAGAGGCGCACCCACCTGATACAGCTCACCATCTACAGCAAGTCCTAAAAAGGAACGGTAGTTTTCAATTGAGTGACACATGAAAAATGTGGTTTGGTTTGAATTAGTTCGGTCTGAAAACTTTGGGTTTGTATGTAGCTTTTCTTTTTACCACGTTTTTTTTGGTAGTTGATGCATGCTTTTTGTAGTGGTCCATTTGTTAGGTTAACTAAGTGCAAAAGGCTGGCAAGCATATTTGTAGACACATAAGTGCAAAAGGACGAGTTATCTTTGGTTTGAGGACATAAATTCCTTAAAGTCCCATTTGGTATGAAGTATTGAAAATGAAGGATAAGGATTGGGATTGGGGCTGAAAATATATGTTAAAAGAATGTTTAGCATGAATGATTTCTTATCACATGGGATTAGGCAATCCTATGTAAATGGGATTGGAGAATATCACTTCCACCCGTGGTATTTTTCAATCCTACATATATAGGCTTATCTAATCTCAAGTATCACACAATTACTCATACGAAATATTTTTTTAATATAGTTTTTTTACTCTAATCTTAATCCTTATCTCTTATTTTCAATGTTTCGTATCAAATGGGAGCTAAAAGGTCTTGTAATCTCTTCTTCTTTTTTGTTAACCTAAAATATAATGCTACCTCCAGTTTTTTATATAAGTACTCATTTGACTTTCATTTTGATTCTAAATACAAGAGTCTAAATTCATTTTGTCTCTTATTTTTATTTTTTTCCCAAGATAGTTCTTATAATAATAGTAGTTCTAACCAATACACTTGATTAGTAAGGATATTTTAGAAAATATAATACTTATTAATTATAAATAACTAACTTAATTAATTTTCTTAATATATTTAAATTAGTCAACTAACTTTTATATTAAAGACTGGAGGAAGTACAAGTATTATAATTTAAATTATTAATATACAACAAGTTGATCAAATAATATAAAATATATAGTTTAAAATAAATCCCCAACAATATGGCTTATCCTTTGATTGATTGAGTCCCTCAATTTTTATATTAAAAAATAATTTATTTCAAAAGGCTAGTTGTTATTATTATTATTATTATTATAATAAATTAGGAATCATCATTAACCATTGCTTTTTCTCAAGTGTCCCCATCATTTTGTCTTCAGATCCCACTTATAATTATCTTTCAGATTAAAATTAAGAGCAAGCAAAGATATGATTATTTGTAACTCCTGTTCTCGTGGACAATAATCAATGGCGGATTATCCAATAAAAGCCCCAATCTCTCATGCCGAATTGAGTTCGACTTTTGTTTTTTAGATTGAAAAGAAGGAGTACTTTTAATTTATTTATTTACGAACATGACCATATTTTCTATTTTCTTACAATACTATTATAATAAATCATTTTTTAAGTACTGCTATTTAGTAGTAGTATTTAATCAAAGTAGCTCTTCCAATGTTTACGTTACAATCATTAAACCCTTAACTTTATTTACTGGTGTTAGCGCGCCTTCCATAACTAACTATCCTTAGTTATATTTAATAAACTAGAGGGATTAATAAGAAGAGTTGATAAAGATGAGGAAAAGTGTTTCATGAAAATCCCACCAGGTGTTTGGCTTCTTTAAAAAGTGCTTTTAAAAAACATTTTTTTGTAAATCGAGATAAACTCATTCACATATTTACTTTGTATATCATAAAAATACTTTTAAAACCATGATTTTGATTCCATCCAAGCGCCCATATAAGAGAAAAAAGCTTAATTTGAAATGGATTAATCAGGGAGGCAAAATTACTCTAAAAAAATTTAGGGCTATGCCCGTAAAATAATGAAGAATCCCTAAAAAAAAAAAACCTTTTGAATTTCAAAATCTTAAATAAAGAATTATTATAAAAATGTGTCGTTATTTGCTTTTTAAGTGTAGTCTATTATCATTAAAGTACAATAAACACAACTAATTTAAAATTTTAAAATTAAAAAAAATTAAACTTTTTGTAAAATAATTATGTAGAGTAATATTTCAGAACAAGTTTTAGAGCCAAAATTTTTTTAAAAAGGTTGAACCATTGTTTTTAAAAAGTCTATCTATAGTGGTGAAGTGAAGGATGAAAGAATAGTTTGCTTTATTAGTATGATTGTTATTAATGAAAATACAATGTCCTCTCCCTCTTTTCCAATTTTGTAGAACAAAATGTAACAATTTTTTTTAAAAATGACTTTTTAGAACAAATTCGAAATTTTTTATTTTTCAGAATTCATAACCAAAAACTCATTTTCAAATATTTCTCTATCTTGTCATTTTTAAAATAAAAATATTTTTAAAAAGATCAAACAAGCTTTAGCTTCTAGGCTTTGAAGTGTGGGAGTAATTTTAGTTCTATCTGTGGCCCCAAAAAAAAAAAGTTCTATCCATTATAGCAACAACTTTACTCATGTGAAATAATAACAATAACAATAACTTTTAAGTGCTGGTTTCATTAATAATTAACTTTTTCACTTTAAAAAACACAACAACAAAAGTTGCGACTTTTTTCTGCAGTGAATATGAAGTTTGTTCATATTATCAGTGACAAGAATGGTCGGTGGATTCTAAATTGAAAGAAATATGAAAAGCTTGGTTTAGTTTGAATTGGTTGGTTCGGGGAAATTGTGTGGAGACTTTTGGTGTTCAAGCATGAAACAGCTGTTTTAGAGATCGAGACTTTTCAGACGAATTAAAACAAAGTCAAATTTTGTGCATCAAAACTATTCATTTCAAATTTGAGGGATAAAAATTAAAATGAGGTCAAATTTTATGAATTTAAAATGATATTTTCTTTAAATAAAATTGACCAATTTTATATTTAAGATATGAGGAAGTAAATTCACATTCTTATCTTTGGGTGAACTCTTTGTTATTATCATCATTATACCTTCTATGATGATGAGCATCATATACAGGAAACTTTTTTCTTTTTTTTGGTGGGAAACGCATCATACAGCAATTTAATAAAGGCAAAGCTCCCGAGAAGAGTTGAAGAATCCAGAGGGAAAAAAGTCTCCACGCGTTAGAATAGAATCCCAAAATCATAGAGGAAATAGATATTAATAATAAAATTTTAGGGGTTAAGAGTCATTTTTATTCTAAAAGTATTAATTATAAAAGAGTTTTAAGTATCCGGAATTTTTTTAAAATTTAATATCATCCTAAACATGTAAAAAAAAAAGAGCAATATTGTTTAAATTGTTAAAAAAAATAATTTTTAACGTATTTTAATAATCATGGTGACATTATTTCTTTTTTACTACTTTCGGGGTGGAAGTGAGACCAGAAAAAAAAGTATATCAAAATTATTCATTTCAAATTTTAGGAATAAAAATTAAAAAATGAGATCAAATTTTATAAATTAAAAGTGATATTCTCTTAAAATAAAACGACTAATTTTATATTTAAAATATGAGGGAGTAAATTGACATTCTTATCTTTGTGTGAACTCTCTTTTTTTCCCCCTAATTAATAATATTACTATTGTGCCTTTTATGATGATGAGCATCATATACAGGAAACTCTTTTGTGTGTGTGTGTGTGTGTTTGTGTGGGAAAAGCGTCATACAGCAATTGAATAAAGTTGCCTTGGAGTCATGGTTTACACGACGCATGAACGATTTTTCATTCTCCTTTTCATTTTGTCCCCCGCAAGGCAAAGCTCCCAAGAAGGGTTGAGGAGTCCAGAGAGGAAAAAAGTTTCCACACATTAACAGAGAATCCCAAAATCATAGGAGAAATACATATTAATGGGAAAATTTTAGGGGTTAAGAGTCATTTTCATTCCAAAAGTATTTATAAAAGAGTTTTGAGTACTGAAATTTTTTTAAAAAATTCAATAAGAGTGACATTATTCCCTTTTTTTTACTACTTTCGAGGTGAGAGTGATAAAAAAAAAAAATATCCACAGCGACTTTGAGAATACTTTGAGAATAAAAATAACCCAAATTTTGAAATAATTTCTACAAATAGTTTCATTCTTAGAAAGTTTCTAGGAACTACTCTAGAATTAGGTTTTTCTCTTTTAAATGATCTGGTTGCCCTCGTGTGAGAAAAACTTACTCCGTCACCAAGAGTTGGAGGGACAATTACTCTCTTAAAATTCAGCTTCTAAGTTTTTAAGTACTAGTATATCAATAATTACTTTAATTTAAGAAATAACTATTTTATTCATCTTTGAAAAAAAAAAAAGAAATACTACCTCCGGTCCTTAATATAAGACCCTATTTGACTTTTTGTTTGGTCCTAATTATAAGACCTCAATTCATTTTGTCTCTCATATTTATGCATTTTTTTCCAAGATAGTCCTTCTAATAATGATAGTTCTAGCCAATACACTTAATTAGCAAGGATATTTTAGGAATGACAACACTTATTTATTACAAATAACTAACTTAACTTACTTCCTTAATCTCCTCAAATAAGTCAACTGGGTCTTATAATTAGGACCGGAGGTAATAACTATTTTGGTTATATAAAATCACGAGGACAACTTTAGCACGTGCAACTTTGCTCATATAAAATAATACTACCTCTGGTCCTTAATATAAGACTCTGTTTGACTTTTTATTTGGTCCTAATTATAAGACCCCAATCCATTTTGTCTCTCATATTTATGTATTTTTTTCCAAGATAGTCCTTCTAATAATGATGGTTCTAGCCAATACACTTAATTAGTAAGGATATTTTGGGAATGACAACACTTATTTATTACAAATAACTAACTTAACTTACTTCCTTAATCTCCTCAAATAAGTCAACTGGGTCTTATAATTAAGACCGGAGGTAGTAACTTTTTTACTTAGATAAAATAATAACAACTTTTTTTTTTGGGTACAAGAGAAAGCTAGAGCTCAAAACTAAAAAAGAGCAAAAACCAGGGTGGTTAATTCCCAGGCTCTTTATAATAAAAATTTGACCTAAAGAACTTGACTAAAGTTTTTTCGATTGAGAAATACATGTGACTCGCTAGTTGCAACCATATATTCTCTGCAGAATCACAATTCCTCAATATATGTCATTCATCTTTAATGGGCTTTAGGGTTTTATCGGTAGCAATTTTTTTACTAAGTACAAGTATCTTTTCATTAGAGATAATTCTATTTAAGGTAGTGTACTTTCAACGGGCATTAGAACTTTCGTTCATGATAAATTCAGCTCCCATTTTAATGGGCTTCAGAAATGAAAAATAGATTTTTAATGGACTTTGTAAGTTCCAAGCGGCCTCTGGTAGCCCAAACATATAATGGCCTAATAAAACCAAAGTGATAAACAGTAACATATATTGCACACAAAAAAGAAACAGTAACGAATAGGGAAAAACACAGAAAAATACAACTTTAACTCCATAATTTCCAAAACGTTCAGCTAATTTCACAAATCCCATTTTGGTACCATGAGACCAAATTGGGATTATTATGTGAAAAGAAAAGATCAAATTGCCCTTCATTTTAAATATTATTTTTAAAATATCACAACCCCTACTGGTCGGCCCATCACCGGAGCTCCAGCGGTGGCAGTCCCCGGAGCTCCGGCTACCAATCGACAATTGGTCACCAGAGCTCCATCGATCGGAAATTTTTTTTAAAAAAATTTTTACAACTTCAATATAACGGTTAACAACTTTTGTAATGCTATTAACAACTTTAGTATAGCAATTAACAACAGTTTTTCTGGGAAATTTAAACTCCGGCGACCAGAAACAATTTTTTAAAAAATTTTACAACTTCAATATAACCTTTAACAATTTTTGTAACGCTATTCACAACTTCAATACAGCAATTAACAACAGCTTTTCTGGGAAATTCAACAACTCCGGCGACCGGAAATAATTTTTTTGAAAATTTTTACAACTTCAATATAACCGTTAACAACTTTTGTAACGCTATTAACAGCTTCAATAGAGCAATTAACAACAGCTTTTCTGGGAAGTTCAACAAACTTCGCGCGACTAGAAACAATTTTTTTGAAAATTTTTACAATTTCAATATAAACCGTTAAAAACTTTTGTAACGCTATTAATAACTTCAATATAGCAATTAACAATAGGTTTTCTAGGAAATTCAACAACTCCGGCGACCGGAAACAATTTTTTTGAAAATTTTTACAATTTCAATATAACCGTTAAAAACTTTTGTAACGCTATTAATAACTTCATATAGCAATTAACAATAGGTTTTCTAGGAAATTCAACAAACTCCGGCGACCGGAAACAATTTTTTGAAAATTTTTACAAGTTCAATATAACCGTTAACAACTTTTGTAACGCTATTAACAACTTCAATATAGTAATTAACAAGTTTTTTGGAAAATTCAACAAACTTCGGCGACCGGAAACAATTGTTTAAAAATTTTTTACAACTTCAATATAACAGTTAACAACTTTTGTAACGTTATTAACAACTTTAGTATATCAGTTAATAACAGATTTTTCGAAAATAGAGTTACAAAAGTTGTTAACTGCTATACTGAAGTTGTTAATAGAGTTACAAAAGTTGTTAATCGTTATATTGAAGTTGTAAAAATTTTCAAAAAAAATTGTTTCCGGTCGCCAGAGTTTGTTGAATTTCCCAGAAAACTTGTTGTTAATTACTATATTGAAGTTGTTAATAACATTATAAAAGTTGTTAACCGTTATACTGAAGTTGTAAAAATTTTCAACTTCAGTATAACGTTAACAATTACATTTTTTTGAAAACTTTTACCAATCCAATATAACGGTTAACAATTTTGATATAGTAGTTAACAACAAGTTTTTTGAAAAATTCAAAAAGTGGCATTTTTATAACTTCAGTAATGCCTTTAACAAACTCAAAAACCTGTTGTTAACTGCTATACTGAAGTTGTTAATAGGGTTACAAAAGTTGTTAATCGTTATACTGAAGTTGTAAAAATTTTCAAAAAAATTGTTTCTGATTGCCGGAGTTTGTTGAATTTTCCAGAAAAGCTATTGTTAATTGCTATATTGAAGTTGTTAATAGCATTACAAAAGTTGTTAACGGTTATATTGAAGTTGTAAAAATTTTCAAAAAAATTGTTTCCGATCGCTGAAGTTTGTTGAATTTCCCAAAAAAGCTGTTGTTAATTGCTATATTAAAGTTGTTAATAACATTACAAAAGTTGTTAACGGTTATATTGAAGTTATAAAAATTTTCAAAAAATTGTTTCCGGTCGCCGGAGTTTGTTGAATTTCCCAGAAAAGCTGTTGTTAATTGCTGTATTGAAGTTGTAAATAGCGTTACAAAAGTTGTTAACGGTTATATTGAAGTTGTAAAAATTTTCAAAAAAAATTTTTCCGGTCGCCCGGAGTTTGTTGAATTTTCCAAAAAAGCTATTGTTAATTGCTATACTGAAGTTGTTAATAACATTACAAAAGTTGTTAATCGTTATATTGAAGTTGTAAAAATTTTCAAAAAAAGGTTCTGACCGACGGAGCTCCGGTGACCAATTGTCGGTTGGTCGCCGGAACTCCGGTGACCGGCCGGCCAGTAGGGGCTGTGATATTTTAAAAATAATATTTAAAATGAAGGGCAATTTGGTCTTTTCCTTTCATATAATAATCCCAATTTGGTCTCATGGTACCAAAATGGGATTTGTGAAATTGGCCGGACGTTTTGGGGATTATAGAGTTAAAGTTGCATTTTTCTGTTTTTTCCCCTAACATATATATGGGAAATTTGCAAAAAAAAAACATTGGGAATATAAGAAATTTCAAATTGGATTTTGAAATTTTGTAAATGACAGAAAGAGTTAATGACCCAATCTGTCATTTGTAAAATTAAGAGGAATTGATAATTTTGTTATCATCTGTATTTTTTCACTGCAATGATTTAAGGAATCACTATAAGGATTTAAGCGTTACCTAGAGTTGTATAGAGAATAACTACTCACTTTTTTGTAATCAGGTGTCTTATTATTAACTACAACAAATCATGTAATCACTAGAATAGTATAAGCATTACCTAGATTCGTGTAGAAAATAATTACTTACTTTTTCATGGTCAGGTACTGTGTTATCAACTGCAACTAATCATGTGATTATTAGAATAGTGTAAGCGTTACCTAGATTTGTTTAGAGAATAACTACTCATTTTTGCTTGGTCAGGACAAAGTTGTTATTTCCTCTTGATTTTACAAATGACAGATTGAGTTATTGATCCTTTTTGTCATTTACACAATTCTAAGATCTAATCTGAAATTTCTTATATTCCAAGAGTTTTTTTGGGATTTTTCTTATATATATATTGGCATTTTAGTTTACTCATATTTATTATTTGAATTAGAAATTTTTATATGATCTTTCCTTTTGTTTTTGTTTGTTTAAAAATAAATAGAAAGATATTAAAAATTTTAAAAAGGTCTAAAACCCCGGGTCACGGTGGAGCTTGTGAAAGGACATTTTAAAGTAAGGGAGCTTCTTACATTCAGCACATTCAAGACTAAGCCCGTCAAGTACAGTCCTATAAGGCTCGACCCAATTTCCACCCTCTAATTTTGAACATCCTAACATAATATAAACACACCATTGATACCCTGTTAGTGTTTTAGATTTGTACAATTGAGTCTTGACGAGTATTTATTTTGAATTATATTACATTATACCATTTGTATAAACGTATATAGTAATACTTGTAAAAAAACCTCAAGCAAACATTATTATAGGTTTTTTTTTAACCACATGTAGGAGTTAATTCTATTCCAAAAACTGTCAGATGTTAAATATGGACACATCTTCTAATAGAAATTTAAATATTAGTTTGCCACTGCAATACCTATTATTATTATAGGCTTTAACTTGTCCTATTGTTAAATAGATCAAGGGACTGTTTGGGAAATAGGAGAAACAATTTTTAAAATTTTTTTTTTGTAAATAAAGATAAATTTTTTTATATATTTTTATCACTTTTGAAATCATAGTTTGGTTTCTATCCAAACACTCTCAAACCTGAACCATATTAGGATGTAGCTTGGGTCATAACCCTATAGTCATTTTGATCCTTCAGGCTTCAACATATAATTCACTTCTTTCCCCCCTTTTGAAGTTTGAAAAATAATAATAATAATACTCCTCCGGTCCTTAATATAAGATCCATTTAACTAATTTGATTAGATTAAGGAAGTTAGGTAAGTTAGTTAATTATAAAAAATGTGACACATCTTTCCTAAAACACCATAATCATCTTTCTTAATACCTCTTTTTGTTCTTTTACTTGACTATAGTTGAGGGACTATCTATAGGGGTAATTTAGAGAAAATTGATAAATATGAGAAATGGGTCTTATATTTAAGACCAAAACCAACTCAATAATTGGGTCCTATATTAAGGAACGGAGGAGTAGATAATAATCATTTGGGAAAAAAAAAAAAAACTGGTGAGAATTATATGGAGCGGTTGAGTCCTGGACAATCTCCGGACCGTGAACGTCCTCTGCTTCAACCTTGATCCCCCTCATCCCGTGCCCCTTGTGTCTGTCGCTGTCCCTCGTACTCCACTGTCGTTCCTCGTTCAACCTGTTGCCTCCTCTGCGGCCTTTCATTGCCGTCGTCCCCTGAATGCCCAGGCGTGAAAAATTCAAGGTTCTGGTGTGAGGGAAGATAGACAATTTGGAAGTGTTTTTGTGAAGGTAAGATGTTGAAGTTACTTTTTCATGTTTGAATGTTCTGAATTTTGTTTGAATTCTGGAGGTTAACCGAAGGATTTGGGTTGGAAATGTTTCCAGTGTTGAAGTGGTACACCGAAGATGCCAAAGAGAGTTCTAGTTATTCTACATTAGTGTTTAGTCTGTTTGTAAACTCTGTTCTGTTCTTTCCAGGGTTTGGACACCCATCTATCGTGCTGAAATGGAGTAGAATGTTGAAGCGATTACTTGTGTATGCAGCAAAAATTTAAGTAGATTTTTGGAGAAATGAAGTTCGACAAGTGAGAAAGAAGTATTTGAAACTTGGAAGGTGAGATTCTGCGATTTAAAACTTCGAATTATTGACCCTCTTGTGGAGAAGATTCACGCCTTTCTTTTAATTGGGATGATGGGATCAGTAAATTATAGAAGAATTGAGATGAGGGAAAGAGATTGGAGGAGTGAAGGGGGATAGAAATGTGCTGCCGAAAAATCTTTGGCAGTCCACGTCCTTCTTTGAGTTTGGCAATTTGCAATGCTTCGAAGGATTGGCAAAAGACACTAAATTCAATTTGCTCATTCTTCTTTCTGTTCATTCTATTTCAGCAAAGCATTGAATTATAAGCTCTTTGTTTCACAATTAAAAGTTTCAGGAATTGGAAGCAGATCAGTTATTGAACCACACAACCTCTGATTCTTGAAATTCTTGTCTGAATCGATGGGCAACGTTATTGAATCCTTTGCTTCAGGCATCGGAAATGTTCTCGGCAAAATCTTTGGCTCCCCAGTTGATTTCCTTTCTGGAAAGTCTTGCAGGTAAAAGCAATATTCACTTTATTGCATTATAGAACCACAGACAACTAACTATCAAATAATCTTAATTCCTAGTCACACGCATGATACTGCAGTTTCAGTAAATAGAGTAACCTAGGACAATTATAAACAAATGTGTAAATATGTAAGTACAAAGCCACCAAAAAAAAAAAACCTTTGAATATGACCATTTTTTGATTGGTTTCCTTACTTAAATGTGACACACCAGGTTCACTTAAAGATCTCTCTTTAATAAGAGTTTTTTATTTTTTTCAATTGACTTCTTAAGTTCCTCTTTCATATAATGCCGTTGGGATATGTTTTTCAGTTCAACTTGCCGACCCACATGGGATCTCATGTGTTACATCGAACATTTTTGCATTGCCAATTTGCTGAAGCTGGCCTTGGTACTGGTTCTGGTTTACATTGGTGAGGTTTCTTCTGAACTGTCTAGTGATTTCAATTGGGACAACAACACACACACACACACATCTATTATTCCGATGTCCCATCAGTTTGTTTAAAATGGCGGAAAATGAGCATTACCCTTTAGTCTTTTCTTGTTTTTGTTCCCATTTTGCAGCTGGTTTATTCATTTACCTATTATATAAACTGGCCAAATGTGCATGCGTTGGGGTGACCATTTGCAGATCGATATGTGCATGCTTGTCTTGTTGGTTCCACCTATGGGAGCGTTCTTGCACTTTCTTGTGTGTCAAGTTATGCAACCTCAAAAGAAGAAGAAGATCATCAAGGGAAAGGTTTGACAACACAAGTGAACAATATTACAGTGATGAAGGCCCTTCCTATTATGGTCGAGGATCCGAAGAAGCGAATCGATCGTTCTCTCGTAGGAGGAGAAACTATAAAAGCTCTCACTTGAGAAACTCCTTGAGGCCAAGAAAACAGCGAGCCCGACTTAGAATCAAAGCAGATGTTAGCCATAAATATGACGAGAAGAGGAACCACATTGCTGGTAATCTCCATCATGATGGAAACAGAAATGCTATCATTAGGCATGGCAATCAGCATAGCAGCAAAGTTCATGACCTTAAGATGGTTAGGACATTTAAGTTTGTGAATAAAGGCCTCAAATCTAAGAGGAGAGGAACTCAAAGGCATAAGAAGTACTAGAATTTTTCAAGATCCTGATGGGATTTGTAGTATGTATGTATGCATGCGTATGTGGGGAGATTCTCTGCTGTTCAACCTTGTACTCGCCCCGCAATAGATGTCTTGTGGTCTATATGTGTACTTAATTAATTAACAATATCTCAATCAAAATCTTTGCATTGTTACAATAATATTGCTTTTGTTTCTGGCCCATGCTATGTAAGTTCCAAATTGGCTTGATGCACATCATGCTACTTCAGACGTGTAAAAGGCTGCTTTCTGTGCTTTTGCTGTCAAAGTTCATGAGTAAGATGAGGCAACATTCAGTTAATCAATCGTGATCAAATATACTCCTGTCGTACTTTTTATTTTTACCAAGATTAAGAAAAATCTTAAATTTTATTAATACTATCTTAATATTTAACATTTTTGAGTTAAAGTGTTTAAATACTCCAAAAGTATTTATAAAAGAGTAGTCAGCATCTAATTTTTTTTTTTTTTAGTTTTTATTCGTGGCAAATATGCCCTGATCATTATCCATCACTAAATATGACCATTAAATTATACGGTTTGATCAGTATCTTTAACGATCAAATCAATGGTGGGTGATAGTTCATGATAGAAATACTTGAAATAAAATTTTTCAGGTATATTAGACGGGAAAAAAAAAAACACTTTCAAGAGGTGTGATGGATGGTCCTTCGTGATGCTTTCAAGATATAAGGACCTTAATCTTATATTTTTTTAAACTTTATCTTTATTTAATTATATACTTATGAGAAAATAACAGTTAATGTGGTAAATAAAAAAAAAATTATATATTCATATAAAAAATTAATGATGTGACTTATAAATAGATAAGAAAAAATCTTGCCTCTATCTTGTATTACCTCTGTTTTTAATATAATAACTTATGTGACTTTTATGTTAGTACTAAATATAATATCCCAATCCATTGTTTCTATATTTATTCATTTTTTCAAAATAGCTCCTGTGATAATGCTAATTTTAGCTAAGACATTTGATTAACAAGTATATTTTAGGAAATATAACATCTATTTATTATAAATAATTAATTTAAGTAATTTTCTTAATCTACTCAAATTAGTCATTATATTAACGATCGGAGATAGTAAATAGAATAAAGGAATATCCAATTTATAATAAACTACATTATCTATAAGTTATGAATACGTGGTTTATTTTCTGAAAAAATTAACATGGTTTATTTTCGATTTTATGATGCAATACCTGAGATCGACATTTAGTTGTACAAAAATACATACCAAAATAAATAGGCAATGGATTTGCTAATCTTCAATCAATTCGGATCTGTCCTTTAACTCTCTTTTTTCTCCTCCTTTTTATCTTGAGTCTCCATCTCAGATTTTTCCTAGGAATAATAGGGAAGGAAAATGACATTAAAAAAAAGTTAAAAATTACAATATTCTAATTCAGATGCCTAAGATTTCAAAATATTATGAATAAGTGTTGAACAACAAATAATAAGAAATATACTAGAAATGATAAGTTATTTATTAATAAGTTGTGAGTTAGTAATGACAAGTGCTAAACAGCAAATGATAAAAAATATAATGGTAATAACAAATTTAACAGCTTTTTTTTAAAAAAAAAAAACTGATACAAGGCCATTTAATCATTTGACTATATTTACAAAATACCACATCAAACACAACTTCTTTTTATGAGATTTTGAAATCTTAGATGCCTAAATTAAAATATTATAATATTCAACTTTTTTTTAATTTCATTTTTCCAATTTATATTGGAGAACCAGCAGAAACGAGAGAAGTTGATAATTTTGTTGATTTACTTGCTATTTACTCTCTCGTTTATCGCCTTTGTGTTTGAATAGGACTTCCCAAGAATCTGGGGAATAAACCGAATGCTCGCGCGCACGCGTGTCGGTGATATCCCGACAATTTACAACGCATGATTGTCTGCAGTCTGCACGTTGCTGGCTTCCACGACAAATAGAAGTTTTCATCCATGCCCCTGTCTTTTTGTTACATTACCATTTGGCTCCCTCCTCACCTCTTTTTTTTTTTTTTTGTCCCCTAAGATCGGGATGGCATGTGACGCGTAATAATTTAAAAAACTTCTAGATCATTGTACTTTTCTATATTAAAATTTTCCGAAATTTTTTTAAATATTCTTAAAATAAAAAATTGTATGAAATCTAGTTAATTTTTTTATTAAAAGACAAATTTTATTTAAAGTAAAATAAAAAGATTACATCCTAAAAAGACCGGCCCATCATAATAGGCATATGTGAACTCAGTCCAAACAACTCATGAAAAGAAGGCGGCTCAACAAAAAAGTAAAAACATTGAACAGAAAATTATAAAACTAGCTAAATCGAGTGCACTTTTCAAGGCCAAAAAAAAAAAAAAATTCGAGAGCACTTTTTCCTGTGTTCACATGAAATCAATACATGAGCAAACCATACTTGATTTTAACATTAAAGTTATTTTTGCTTTGAAAAATTAGATAATTTTAACTTTTAAGAAGATTAACTAATTTTAATTAATTTATGTAAATTAATTAAAAGTGACTTATCAAAATAGAGAAATATTAGACAAGAGATATTTGTGAACTAATGTAAGTCATATTATTCAAAACAGTATCAGAAAAAAGGATAAAATATTGTACCAAAAAGATGTAAGACAATAGTGCATAATTTTTCATGGATTTATCAATATGTTTAACAAAACAAACACCAATATAGGGGCGGTTTGGATTAGCTGATTGGCGATTAGAAAAGTATCTTATTATCAATTTGACTTTTAAAAAAGTGAAATTGGGTGATGTGACTTATGTTTGGATTGGATTTTATAAAAGTTAGTTTGTAAAATTAGATTGGGTAAAAAGTTGTTTGGATTATGACTGAATAAGTAATTTTAGTTTGTAAAATTAGTAATGAGTAAGACTTTAATTAAATAATAAAAAATAAAAAATTATCAATTTACATAATATTATAATTTTAAATTATTTATAAGCTCTTGTTGATCTCATATATTTTTATTTTATTTTTTACCATTTATTATAAGGGAATATTTAAAAACAAAAGTATATTTCTAACATTTATTAGTTTTAACTAATTTAACTGATTTTTCATTCTCTACAAATTAGTTATTTGAAACTTATAATAAGAACCAAATGAGGTAGTAAATTTCTTAATTTTTTTCTCTTTCCATGTTTCAAAAGCCATAAGTCAGCCTCTTTGGCAAAGCGTTTGAAGGGGGTAAAAGTAGTAGTATGATAAGTCAGTTTGCAAATTTGAAAGCTATTTGTCACAGTTTTTGGCTAATCTGACCTATAAGTCAAAAGCTACTTTTTTAAGTACGACTGCAAAAAAACACCTAAAACTTACTTATGACTTATACAAAATAGGTTTTGGAATTAAAAGACATTTTATCCTTATATTGTTTTTATGCTTCTCTCTATATTTTTTGTGTTTCCCAATCAATTTTAGTTATTTATTTTTAATATTATTTTTAGTGAAAATAATTTTTAATCGTTTTTATAATATTTTTATTTTAATTTTTATATTATATTTACAAAAATTATGCAGAGTATATCATTTAATTAATTATATAATATTATTTGGTTCGAAAATTTTCACATTACTATAATTTCTAATTTAAATATATTTTATTCATTAAATATAACTTTATTAAATTATTATATTTTGTAAATTCATACTTTAATATTTTTTATTATTTAATAGAAGTCACACCATTTTGGTTATTCTATAAACTAAATTCACTTATTCAATCATAATCCAAACAATTTTTTACTTTACAAACTAATTTTTACAAAAGTTAATCTAAACATAAATCATATTACCGAATCTCACTTTCTACTTAATCTAACTTTTTTTAGAAGTCAAGTTGAAAATAAGTTACTTTTTCTATCACTAATCGAAACGGATCTAATAGCTAATTTTTACTTATAACTTATTATAACTTTTAATGTATAAGTCAGATTGTTCAATCCCCAATCCAAATACCACAAAATTTTCAAACACGTTTCTACTTAAAAATAATAATTTATTGCCCTCCAAACTCTGAGCCAAATAGGCTTTTTTCTTAATAGGAGTTAAATGATAAATTAGCAAAACTTGCGTGAGTTAAACTATAAAAGATTCTTTCTTTATTTGTATATATATAAAAGATTCTTTATTGGTATTTATGTTATTGAGATTGAAGATTCAGCTCGCCGGACAATTCTTCTGTTTCTCTCTCACCAACCCCTTTGACCTTTGGCGGCCATTCACGCGTATTACCACGCGTGTTTCCCACTCTCATCTTCCTTCTTATTTCCCTTTTTTTTTCAAAAAAAGAAACCCCCCCCCAAAAAAAATCCACCGCAAAATTTGAGACTTCTAGTCTTCATTATTTCTCTATATTTCTTCTTCATTTCTCATTCCATAATTTTAATTCCTACCATTTGCAAGGTAAATTTGTAAAAAATAATTAAAGTAGACCATATCATACAAAATGCATAATCATAAATAATTAACATAAATTTTATTAAATCTATTATATTTATAAATTACAATAGCAAACCAATCATCAAAAGGAGGGAATTTGATTCTCTCTATTTATCTCTTGAGAATAATTTTGGTTATTCTAATAGTATCAAGATAAAAAAGAATATTTTATATAAATAAATAAATAACAAGGTCACATACGGTTTTGGCAGTACAAATTGTCTTTTCTTTATCATGAGATCATTTGGACAACCAAAAAAAAAATTCACACTAGACAAATGAAAACAATACTAAAGAGGATATGGTCTCCAAAGTAGCATAAAAAGGCAATATTCGCAATTCATATAAATATATATATATATATATATATTTCTATATATGAATTTTGGAAAGAAAGATACCAATAAGTTGGGGAGAAAAAGACAGACAGTAATAGAGAAAGATATTTTTGTGGCTAAAATCTGACTTTGATAATTATATTTATAATTTTCTATATTACGATATTTTTTCTTAAAAAAGAAATTTCCTATGTTATAATAAATAAAGAATTTAGAAAAAAAAGTGCTAAAAAACTCCTCATTACAAAATTTATTGAGCATAGGTATTTAAAATTTGTTTAAAAAACCATATGTGCAATTATCAATTGGCGCATTTTTTTTCTCTATTTATGTATAAGTGTAAATATGCAATTTTATTTTTCAAGTGCATCCCCTGAAAAAATTGAAGTGCGAGGTATACTTGAGAAATAAGATTAGAATAAAATTATATATTTATCTTGTATACAATCTATCCTTTTTTTTTTCCGGATATACAGTTCATCTTTAGTTGTCTAAAACATCAAATATTTACACATAATTAACAAAGAGCTGTTGAGGTAAGTCCTTGTGTACATTTTGAGTGGGACATTTTCCAGCAACTTTACAAGGAGGAATCTATTGAGAAAATCCTGTGGGCGTGAAGCCACGCGCTAGAAAGGGAGGATGGAAATGGAGAATCCCTCACGCAGGAACCCCTAAAACCACTTTGGTGAGCTCGTCCTAAGAAGTAACGCCCCCTTCCCAACGGCTCAACGCCAACTATTTCCTCCCATTTAATTCACATAGAAATACTCTCACAGACATACACAGGGAAGAGAGGAAGAAGGAGCAAAGAGACGACAATGTCGATCGCCTTCTGCTTCTCTCCTTCCTTCTCTTCTTCCTCCTCTTGTAACCTTCATACCTTTGCTTCTTCTTCTTCTTCTTCATTGCCTTCCTCTTCCTTCCTCAACCTCCGCCTCTCTCTCCCTTCTCCGCCACTCGTTTCTTCCTCATCTTTCTCTTGCCAGCGCAGGAACTTGCCTTTTGTTCTCTACTCCTCTTCCTCTTCCCCCACTGTCACTGTGACCACCGGCGGCGGCGGGATCGGAGGAGGTGGATTCTCTGGAGGTGGCGGCGGAGATGATGGCGGCAATGCTGGGGATGATAATGAAAAGAATGAGGCTATTTTGGTGTTGGCGGAGGTAGGGAGGTCGCTGGAGAGTTTGCCTAAGGACTTGGCGACGGCGATCAAGGATGGCAGGATTCCTGCTTCGGTTGTGTCTCGGTTTTTGGAGCTCGAGAAGTCTCCTTTTTTCAGATGGCTGCTTCAATTTGGTGGCTTCAAAGAGCGTCTTTTGGCGGATGATCTGTTCTTGTTCAAAGTCATCATGGAGTGCGGTGTTGGCATGTTCACCAAGGTTTGTGTTTTCTGCGTTTGATTTGATCGTATGGGGACTTGGGTGGAAGAATATAACGCAAATGTGTAGTACTTTTAAATGTTCTGCTTCTAAGATATGTGGTTTCGCAGCTTTTTTCTTTGTTTGTTGACTTTTTGCGGATTCTGTCAAATAACATGCAGAGATTCTTTCAGGCTTGTTATGTACGCTGGCTTTTCTTGTCACGATTAAAGCTGTTTTAGTTTAGGTGTGAATGAGATCTCTTGGTTGTTTGGATGAGGAAATTCATGTGTAGTTTCAAAATAATCCTTAGTCTTCGAGCCTAAGCTTTTTCATTTTATGACGTCCCTTTCCAAGGGGAAAGCATGGAATTAAAATTTACAAATGCTGACAAGATGCAGGATAAAACAGAGATCAAGAACATTCATTTGTATACGCTGATATGCTATTCCTTACTTGTCCATGTGTTCTCACAGAAATTAATTAATGACTTAAATATTCTCAATAACTCATTCGACTTTAAAACGACTCTCGATGGTTAAAACTAAAAACTCTAAGAGTTAGATGCCATATGATTTATCAAACAACATCTCAGTCCAGAGAAATTATCTTATGAAACAATTATGACAAATTGACGAGGTATACTTCTTCCCTTCCCCCTCTCTTTAAGCATGTGCTAATTGACAGCGTCCATCTACTTATTTGTTTCCTTGGTTCTATTTCTCAGACTGCTGCTGAGTATGAGCGACGCAGAGAAAAATTTTTCGATGAGCTGGAAATTGTTTTTGCTGACGTGGTATGAACATTCTCATTACATTATTGCTAATTAGTCTGAATACTGTTCTGCTATCTTTCTGGTTACAGCACGCCTTTGAATAGTTCATTCGGGGCAACAACACGATCAACACCACTACCTGGTTATAAACTGCCTTTAATACACTTATACATTTCCTGGTCTTTTTATTTTTTCGCTTAGAGCCCTTTTTCAATGGATATATATTCACTGCCTCCGATTCTAAATTTAAGGTCATTTGAGGGTTTCGGTTTGGTCTTAAATACAAGGGACCATTCCCTTTTGTCTCCCATACTAATATTTTCCTTTCCATAATATCCCTATTTATTGAGCCATTTTTATCTCTGCCCTTCAAATTTTAATAATTAAATGAATGGTTATTTTTGGAATAGTGTCACACATTCTCTGCATATTAATTATAAACAACCAACTTATCTACTTTTTTTGGGTTCTACAAATTAGGTAGACAAGAGGAAGTGTAGTGAAAGGGGATTCTATTGACACCTCTCAGTACGTTGTGTCTGGCTTGATCACCATTCATACAACTGTACAGAAAATAAATTATTCATTACCTTCACTATGAATTTTCAATAATTTCTCATTTGTTCAATGTTGAGAATCAATGCAAGGTCAATATATGTGATAAAGGTGAAACAACATTGCAATTGAAAGCAAATATCGAGCTTTTTTTTTTTTTTTTTTCTTTTGCCTTGTTGATGAAATTTTATGCTTGAGTAGGTTTCCTCACAATAATGATCTCTGACAACTTAGAATGGTGCGTTATATTTCTTGATTGTTTAGTAACATTGAAAACGAATGTATTCAGCCGTTGTTTACATTTTCTGAAAGTGAATTTTCTTTGTTTGGCTAAAGGACTATTCTTTCGTTGAAGATAACTTTATACTAACATCTGAACTTAATGTGTGATATGTGTGTGTGTCTACATTTTGTACCTTGCATTTTTTTTTCCTTTCGTCAGTTCATTGAGGATATTACACTCTGTGAAATATCTGTTAATTTAATTGCGTAACTTACCTCTTACTTCTTAACATCAGGTCATGGCCATTCTTGCTGATTTCATGCTGGTTTATCTGCCTGCACCTACTGTATCTCTTCGACCAGCACTTGCAATCAATGCAGGACCAATTGCAAAGTTTTTCCACAACTGCCCTGACAATGCATTTCAGGTCTTTATATTTCATGTGGATTGATGGCTTAGACTTAATACAGTTCATTTCTGCCAATTTTTGTCAGTGATTGGTTGTCGAAAACATTTTTTTTTACCTGCAGGTGGCTCTCTCCGGAACATCATATTCCTTAATACAAAGGGTTGGCGCAATTCTGGTATGTACCATTTGGTAATCTGTGTCTTGCAGCTTGTAATTTCATCCTCTTATATACTTCTAATACTTACTTTTCTATATGATTTTTTCCCCATGGCACAGCGTAATGGATCAAAGCTTTTTGCTGTGGGAACTGCTTCGTCACTGGTTAGTTCTTATCTTTATGGGAGATTTAACTCTTTCTTGTTTGAAAAGATAAGCCATTTAGAGTTTGGGCATTGTTTGATTGTATCTGGCCTATGATTTACATGGGTTGATTGATCTGGCCCTCTCATTTGCGGTAAACATTGTGTGGTTCTAGCCAGAACTAAGTATTGTATGAATTCAAGTATGATAAAGAGCAGAAAAAAAGCTGGGATTTTGATTGTTATTGCCTGTATTTAAAAAATAATTCTCGATGGCTATCCATTATTTTGTACACTTTAGTGATGCTTTATGCATCTGGCTGTCAGTGATATGCATCTGGACTGCTGGGAGTCCATTGCCTTCATCCTTATCATTATACTGGACGAGTCTTCCTTCATCACATGGCCCCGTCCATTTCCTGTCTGTTGAAAGTTGTAGCATGCAATGAGAGTGTAAACATGATTAAGATAATTCACTCAACAATGTAAATATTGGGAGTAGCACCCCTTGTTGATTTATTAATCATCGTTGAACTAATAACGCCAATAGAATAGAATCTTTCATCAGTGGACTAATGCTATGAATAGGGGGCAAATCCCAGGCTAGTCAATGTATATGTGGATAAAATGAACATATTCCTTTATTTGAATAATTTATATGGTGGCCCTGTCTCTATATAGTTATGCTTATATCCCTTCTAGACCAAATAGAAGGTGTTCATTCTCCCTGAGTGGGAGGACTGATTTGCCATGCATGGTATACATCTAGTATAAATAATTCTGAATGCGTTCAAATGCAACCCTAAATCTTTCAGTAATTTGTTCTTTAGAGTGATATTGGGAAAAGAGGCTGTCAAGGATTGATATTTTGTAGCTTTCTTTATTAATCTCTTCTCAGTTTTTTTCCCTAAACTGTTCTGAGTTGAAGTGGACTTGGGTATGGACACTGACACATTACTTTTTGTATTCATTCAGGTTGGGACAGCTGTGACAAATGCCTTGATTAATGCAAAGAAGGCTGTTGATAAGTCTTCTGCTGGGGAAGTTGAAAATGTTCCAATTTTATCCACCAGTGCAGCCTATGGTGTCTATATGGCAGTTTCCAGCAATCTCAGGTAAAAAAGATGGTAAATTTATTGGGGATTATGGTCTAGAGTCTGATAATGCTTCTAATAATTAATGTAACATTTGGAAATTCTATCTCATTGAAATTACTAGTTACAGAGATATGCACCGGGCATGGCATTGGGAAAATAATATGCAAAAAAAAAAAAGTGTAAGAAATTCAAATAAATCTTGTTGGATTGCTGACCACATGAGCATCACTCAGTATTCGATGGTCCAAAAAAAAAAAAAAATCAGTATTCTTTCTATCGGCTGCAGTCATGTTACTTACTTAATTTTACTTGAATGACTGATGTATTAACTCAATACACCATGATAAATTGCTCTGATAGAAAAGCTATGTTATGTTCAAAATTTTCAATTTGATAGTTCACTTTTAAAGTTCTATATTTTTTTCAGAACATTATGAATTTTGCTATGTCTATGTGACCTTCTTATGTTACTGATTGGACCTGGTAGATATAACGTGTCTTTTAGCCTTGGATTTTGTCTTGGTCCTAAAAAAGAAAAGAAAAGAAATCATGAGCCACCCATTCACAATTGGAATGTGTAAGAATTATATATATCCAATCATAGGAAGTTCTAGGTGCATCTCCTATGGCAGAAAACTCATGGTATAGAGGAAATGCACTTTTTTGCTTTTGCTTTTGCTATGTGGGCTGGTCACTTGGTTACACTGAAAAAAGAAATGTGGTAGCCTGTTCATAGCACCAGTGACTGGATATATCTGTGTGTGTGTTCTCTGTTTAGAATATGTAATTAACAAATTGATTATGTCATATTAGGTATCAAGTTCTTGCTGGAATAATTGAACAGCGGCTTTTGGAGCCTTTGCTACACCAGCATAAGCTTGCACTCAGTGCACTTTGCTTTGCTGTGCGGACGGGCAATACATACCTTGGTTCATTACTGTAAGGAATATCTTCCCTTTAATTTTTCTCTTCTTACCTCATTTTCATATGGAGAGCTTTACCTCTTGGTCAAGATTTTCAACAGATTTGCGAGACCAATCTCTCATTGCTGATACGCTTGCTCTAGAGAATAATATGTAGGACTGAAAGTACATCAAAAAATCCTTTTGCTGATATGCTTGCGGGGCAAAAAAAGAAGAAACTTTTTTTTTTTTTGGGGAAAGCTTTATTTGTTGGGAGGAGCTCATGTGTTGCGACTTTGTGGTGCAGGTGGGTGGATTATGCTCGTTGGATTGGAATTCAGTAGGCTTTACCTGCTTTAGAATATCAGAATTCTTCTAGGCTGCTCTCTCTGTGTTTGTGTGTTGATTACACGTGTTTCGTTTTAGGATATTATAAAGCGCAGGCCAGAACACAAAAAGGATTTTTTTTTACTTTTAATTTTTCAAAAAAGAGAGAGAGAGAAAGTAAAGTGTTTTGATTGGGATGTTTTATTGTAGGATGTATTAGGCTAGAGGTTTAGGTTCTGTGCCATCCTCCCTTTCATATACTTAAGTCTGCGGATTTAGATTATGACATTGGACTCAAGTTGGTGGACGTAATTTGAGTCTATGCATAATATGGATGTTGCAAAATTAACGGCCAATAAGAAACCTACTCTTTCCAGCATGAATATTTTGTCAGTCATTTGAAGGGGAATGATTTTTAATTTTAATAAATATATTTATCTTGCTACCGTGCTTGCATTCAGCTTGAATTCCTATTGAGAAAAACATGCAAAAAATTGAAAAATAAGCCATCTGTTAAAAATTTTATTAGTAAGAATGACTGGATAAATATTTATATATGCAAAGCTTGGTATTATGCAAATTTTATGCATAGTGAAATTAGGGGTGGTAATATGTGCAAACTTGCAAGTGTAGGCTGGCTCAGGATGGATTAGGATTTGGCTGTATGGGCCTCATAAAATGGCGGGGTGATGGATAGCAAACTATTTTTTTTTTTAAATTTTTAAATTTTTTTATACAATATAAACAGAATATAATAAAATTATTTTTTTTCTTCAAATGCTGATTTAAAATACTAAATAAATGATATGTGATTTTTTTAAATTTTTTTATGTAGAATATAAATATAATAATATAATTGTAATAATTAATAAAATTGAAAAAATAAAAATAATTGTGGGTTAGCCTAGTCCTTGTGGGTTGCTGGTTTAGTTGTGCGGACTAAAAAGTTGTTGGCGGGTTTTTTTTTAATTTCCTCAAAAGGATCAATATATATTAAAAAAAAGATAAATACTACTTTAATTTTTAATACAAATCTAACTAATTAATTTAAAAAAATAAAAATACTAAAATTATTTAATTATATCATATGTTGTGATTTTCATAGAATACTCATATATTATTAGACTATATATTGATTTATAAATCATGTAAATGAGTTTGAAACAAAACAATTAATGTAAATACTTTAATTTAAAGTAATTTAATTAAAATTTTATAATTTTTTTAAATTAATTAATTAAGTTTTATATTAAGTGCTGGAGGTAGTATTGTATAATTTATACGCTTATCCCAAGTGTAAGTTCACCCGGCCAGGCAGCGGTGGTCTTTGTACGATAATAAACGATAGGGGACAGCCACAGTTGTCTCTCACTCTTTTCGGTCCATTATCCTATTCGTACACAGTGGCCCAACTACTATAAAGTGAGCTTAAAAATAAATCATGATTGTATTTTTAAGAAGAAAATGTACTATTGATTTTAGTATTATTTCAATTATAGTTAACAATTAACTTTCCCTAAAACATTTTTGACAATAAAACTCATGAAGCATTGATTATTCAGATAAAATTAGAATAAGTAATATGCTTTACACGCAGTCTAAAGTAAGGGTTTGTTTGGATCCACGGTCAATAAACATGTTTGTATAAGTTAAGATAAAACTCCTTTCATATACTTATCTCTTATTATGTAAATCACAATTAAAAAATTACTTATAAGTTATTTTAAACAACCCCTAAGCCGTATTGTTTAAAGAGATACTTTCTTATAAGTCTTATACTACCTTCTCTTCTAAATATAATATCTAGTTTGCGGTGCAAATACATACTATTCAATTCTACTACTTCATTATTCCTTAATATAAGAGCTACTTAACTAATTTGAGTATATTAAGAAAATTAATAAGAATTAGTTATCTGTAACAAATATAAGTTGATTTCTCTAAAGTACTCTTTTTAATCATGACTACTCTTAGATGAAAATTCCTTAATATGTATAATCAACAAGGATACAATAAAATGAATTATAAATTTGAGAGACAAAGTTGATTGAAGGCTTATATTTATTATCAAATCCAACTTCCCAATTAGATTTTATATTAAGGATTAAAGGTTAGAGTAGTAAAAACTAAATTTTATATTTAGAGTTGGAGATAATATTACACACAGGGGGATTTATGGGATTCATATGAAGATGCACAGCCAAGTGAATGACGTTGGTATGGTTAGACAATAGAAGCATAGAGCTGCGGGCATTGGATTCCATATCTGCCACCAACCTCCACACTAACCACGTCACTTAAATGAATTACACTGTTAACCCATATGGCAATATTTGTAAGCAGTTATATTTTCCTATGTATATATATATATATTATCCTCCAGTAAATATTTCTACTTCTATGCTAGAGGGCAAGAGGCAGGTAATAATAGTGAAGGCATTTTACAAATACATTGCCAAATGAATGCCAAGGTCAAACTTCACTAATTAATTAAGAGGCATGCAAATTAAACGTGCAAACAAGAACTCTCAAGGTCCCAGCACAGCCACACAAAAGAAAAGACAAAGCCCATATCAATTACTATACCCAATTATACTGCCCATATCCACCAGCCTCTTTTAATCATGATTGTGAAATTTTATATTTATAGTTTAACTTTTCTATCGCACGTGCAGATATGTTTGGATTAATAAAGTGCAGAATCATATTATAATCGTTGAAACAATACAATTTAGTATTGTTCACGTAGAGCAACTATGTTCATCGATCTCCAACATTACACAAAATTTAAGCTCTATTATTGCAGAGACGAACGAAAGATTCATATAAATAGATGAAGTTGACCAATTGACAAACTTAAGTAAAAAACTCATGAGATCATCCTGTACAAGTTCTTAAAATGCAGCAGAAGGTGGAACCACAGCTTTGCTTTCTGCGATCATCCGAACCAAAATCTAAACGTTGTACTGTCAAAGCATATTGATGAAACTCTCTCGGTTTCTAAGGTTAGACTGAAGGTCGGACACTAAAAGAAAAAAGAACTTGAAATCTACAATGCTATATATATTCTGAAGCTATCATGACCAAGGTCTTAAAATTGTGGATATGTAAAGCATTATAACTATCCCCCCCCCCCGGGTAACTTTTCACAACAAAACAAACCAAGAACACAATTTAAGAACTGAATGATAATTACACACACACAAGTGCAAGTATATTTATGTATTGCTATAACAGGAATAATCAAACTGAAATATCTCGAAGTGCACCAAGGAAGAATAGCTCCAGCTCAGGAGAAGCAAAGAATGGAATCGGTGATCGATGATTGTAGAAATTGGAAAGGGATTTTGGCTTCTTAGGAGGAGGAGGACATGTTGAAACTTCTGGTATTCTAAATCTCTCAGCTTTTGGGGTTGAACATCCATTATCATCATCTGAAATATCAAGTTCTTCTAATATCTGTGTGCAATGATCATTATTGTTGGAGCAGCAGCTTGCAGGAGAAGCTGAAATCATTTCTTCTTCATCACTTCTGATATTGCTTTTTTTTGATTTTGCTTCTTTTTCTTCAGTGAATGGGATCTTCTGGGCTTTAGTTTCCTTCTTGTTTTCACCCTTGAAGATGTTGCTGAGCTTCCCGAAGGGGCCATAATTTTCAGCAGATACCAAGAAAAAGGGTTCTTCTGGATTTTATCACTTTCTCTTCAAATGCATGACTCTATGACTGTAGGGAATACTCCATATTTGACTTTGCTTTCCACTATATGAAATTGAAAGAAGAAATTTTCAAAACGCAGGGAATATATCTCTTTTGTGCTCAGAGGCGCTGAAGTTGTCTTTAGAGGAAAAAGATTTCACTTGAATAGCACTGGGAGCCAAAATTTGAGAGAATTGATCAGAAAGCAGGATTTCTGGGAAAAGGAGATCAAACTAAGGATATATTCTAAATATTCGTCTGATACTGATAAGAGAAGAAGAAGAGACAAGTTATATAAAAACCCGACCCCAAAAGGCTTCTGAAGAACCATTCAAAGACAAAAGAACATAGAATCTTAAATTCATGAGGAGAGTTTTATGAAACTAAAACCCATCTTAAACCCTTGAACAATTCATACTTATATATATAGCAAATAAAAAGAGAGAGAAAAAGAGAAAAACCTATAGGAGGTCTCAGGAAAAAGACAAAGGGATCGTGTGCTTTTTCAGGTTGCTATTACTAAAGTCTTCTTTTATAAATAAATGGTGAGAGACTACTATACATATCGTAGAAAGTAATAAATAAATGGTAACAAGTAGGGAAGGAGAATCCCACTTGCGTCACTACCTTGCTTTGCTTTAGAAATACAGATACATCTGGCTCTATATATATAAATAAAAACATACTGTTAAATTGGGAAAAGCATATGGCACTTATTTCTACGTTAATTGATATCTTTTGATTCATGTGAGTTCGTGCATTCTTTTACCTCCAATCATAAAAGCAGAAAAGATATCACTTGATACATCCTATAGCTTGTTTTCTCATCATTGGATTCATGTTTCCAATTCCAACTTCCAACATCTAAAGCAATTATCCGTTACTATATATGAAGGAACTAGTAACTATCAACTAACTAACCAAACCCAATATTTATTTATAGTCAATATCCAACCATTTAGTCACACAGATTTCATTTCTCTATATGATATTTAACTAAATGGGAAAAAAATGGCTTTTAAGCAAGTGGTATTAATTAGATTTCTTATCACTTGGTTCCAATATTTAAGCGAAATATAATCAACTTTGATAGTCGAAATCGAGGCCAAACAAACAAAACATCATAGACAACGAGGGGATATATCTTATATATGTGTGTGAATTAATATGAACATACTTTTATTTAAAGGTAATATCTTGCTAAAGGGGAGGCAATAGGTTGTGGGTAGGGTTTATATATATATATATATATATATATTTGTGTTTGTGTGTGTGATGCATATATAATTAGATAGATTCTGGTATGATTTAGTCAATAAGCAAAAGTTGAGCTCTAAATTTAATGCTGCTCTAGTCTAAAGTGGGAAGCTTATGAATACTTTTAGTTGATGGACATATGACGTACATCAGCTTTGCTTTTATATTGCATTATATCACAGGAAAAGGTTTTTGGAGGAAAGTTGGCACAGTCTTTTGAGTTATATACTTTAATTCTAAATATATCCACGATTGATTCTTCTTGTCTTGTGTTTTATTTCTTTTCTCTTTAAATTCCAAAAGCAGCAACATGAATCCTCTTGCTTTACAGGTATTCCTTGGTCGAGAGAACCCTAGGAATATACATCTTGTTAACTCACCATCCCTATCCACGTGCAGCTTGTATTATTTAATTAATTGTA